TTGCCCCTTTCGGGGGCTAACCCCCCCCCCCCGAGTGGGGGGGGGGGGGCAGGGTTTTGCATACCGCACGTGTGATATGTGCCCAAACCCTCACTTCGGTCTTAGATTATTCAGTTCCCCTGAGAAATTCTCCCACTAATTTCCCTGCAATTTACCCAGTATAATTGGCAGAATTGAAGAATCTAGGTCAAAATAGCCAAACCAGAAACATTTTGCCATTTAGCTTTCTTTCCATATCGCCTATATTGATCTAGATTTTGAAATTCTCCTACCAATTCCCCTGCAATTCATCTTTTAGTGAATAGACCTTATACTTTGAAAATAGTGTGGAGAAATAATTTCTGTAACAAAAGAATGTATATGAAGGTGGAACTTGTGGGTGGGTGGGATTTTTATATGGGCGGAGCACAAGGGGACCCCATAATCTCATATTGGCCAGGGGCCCCATGTGTTGTCAGTCCGCCCCTGAAAGATGCTCTGAGAGCTTTAACCCCAGAGAGTGTTGAAATCAAGTTCACAACTGAGATCTGCCAGCACAGTATAGACAGGGTTAAGAATGGTTAACATTAATTTTGCAGCACCCACTTAAACATTACATAGGTGGAAGCTAGGTAGGAGTTTTAAGCATGTAAAAAGCACTCAAATATGTATGCAGCATTTCTTAATTTTTTTAAAGTTATGCAATGTGAATGGGAACATAATACTTATTTTAAGCAGGTGGAATCCCGGTTTGGCTGCAAAAGGAACATTTTCCCTGAGGCAATTAAACCTTTTATTAAGAACCTTTGTGGTCTGTTAGAACCATGGTTTATATTCTCAAGTTTTTAGTATTTACTGCAGCAGGATCATTATATTAAACATATGCATACTTTAATGCACTTCCTGTCCAAGAATTTCCAGTATCAGGCCCATGATTGTGATTATGGTTTGTCTCGCATATGCAACAATCTGGATTTAAAAAAATCTTGAATTCACCAGTCCACTCCATAGGGAGGACAAAATAGAGCCTGTTGTCTGTTTTTGTGAATTCCTGCACATTAAGGCACATGAAAACTGAAATACATTGTATTGCTACATATCTAACTTTATAGTATGATTACATCTTTATACTGTTCTGTCTTCCAGAGGACTGGTGGGCTATTTGGGCAGGAAGACAGTTTCCATGCTGAACCTGTCAGCCCTCTGCAAACAACATTTACTAGCCAACGACCTTTAAGATTTTCAGAAGCTGGAAGTGAGGACTTGGATTCTCCTGTATTTCTTCCAGATCCTGTATTTTTTCCTCCACCAAGAAGAAACCGTAACACAAACAACAGCACAATATCAAGGTACGCATTTCAATGTTTAAGCAAAAAGATTTACCTTGGTAAATGAGCAGATAGAATGGGAATATTCATTCACGTAGAAATGTAATACATTGTATAGTGACCTAAATTGAGATAAGCCTATTGTGTTACACTTTAAAGTTAACAAAGTTATCATCTTGGCGTAGTTCACAATTGGCTGCCAGATAAAAGAGACAAAATGACATAACTAAATGCTGCTTATTTCACACCTCTAGCTTATTGTTTGGACTAATTTGAAATAACTTCCTTGTTCCACTGATCACTGTCTTTTTCTGTTCGTCTAGATCTTTGTTTGTTGTTGATTTACTTAACTTGTGTTCTTTGATGTCCAATATACTTTTGTAAATATAAGTATGATTGTGTCAGCTAATTGTATAAAACCATGCCTGACAAAGAAAAGTAAGTAGTCTTAAAAGCTTGCACCACAAATTATATTCAGGTAGCTAATTAAAGGTACAGTATTTCAGTTTTCTAATTAGTTTTTTCCTTTTTCTAGGGGATTAGACCAGAGGCCTACAACTCCAGACTTTGAAAGAGTACTACAAGGTGAAGAGCAGTGGGATAGCAACAGTACTATAAGCCAGACAACAAACTGAGAGAAGGTATACCACCAATTATCAATTATGAAAGATAAAACAAGTTACAACCCCAATTCCAAAAAAGTTGGGACGTTGTGTAAAATCTACATAAAAACAGAATGCAATGATTTGTAAATCTCATAAACCCATATTTTATTCACAATAGAAAACAGAAAACATATGAAAAGTTTAAAATTCGAAAATGTACCATTTGAAGAAAAAATAATAAGTAAAATAAAATTGATGGCAGCAACAGGTCTCCAAAAAGTTTGGACAGGGTAACAAAAAGCTGGCAGAGTTAGTGGTTCTAACAAGGAAGAGCTGGAAGAACATTTTGCAACTAATTAGGTTATTTGTCAATAAGTCTGTAACATGATTGGGTAATTAAAAAGAGCATCTTGGAGAGTCAGAGTGTCTCAGAAGTAAAGATAGGCAGAGGTTCACCAATCTGTGTCTAAAAGTTGTCAAACAATTTCAGAATAATGTTTCTCAACGTAAAATTTCAAAGACTTTAAAAATATCATCATCTACAGTACATAATATCATCAAAAGATTCATAGAATCTAGAGAAATCTCTGCGCACAAGGGACAAGGCCGAAACGCAATATTGGATGCCCATGATCTTTGGACCCTCAGACGACACTGTATTAAAACCAGGCATGATTCTGTAATGGACATCATTGCATGGGCTCAGGAATACTTCCAAAAATCACTGCTGTGAACAAAGTTCGCTGTGCCATTCAAAAATGCCAGTTAAAGCTCTAATATGCAAAGAAGAAGCCATATCTGAACATGATCCAGGAATGCTGCCGTCTTCTGTGTGCCAAAGCTCATTTAAAATGGTCTGTTGCAAAGTGTAAACTGTTCTGTGGTGCAACCAATTGAAATTTGACATTCTTCTTGGCAACCATGGGTACCGCGTCCACTGGACTAAAGAGGAGAGGTTTGTTGTCGGGGCGCTCAGTTCAAAAGCCTACATCTCATGGCATGGGGGCGCATTAGTGAATATGGAATGGGCAGCTTGCACATCTGGAAAGACACCATGAATGCTGAAAGATAAATATCCAGAATTTAGAGCAACGTATGCTCCTATTCAGACAACATCTTTTTCATGGAAGGCCTTGCATATTTCAGCATGACAATGCTAAACTGCATACTGCATCTATGACAACAGCATGGCTTTGTAGTAGAAGAGTCTCGGTGTTTAAATGGCCTGCCTGCAGTCCAGACCTTTCACGCACCACTATATCAGGCAAGAATGGGACAACATTCCCCTCCCTAAACTCCAGCAACTGGTCTCCTCAGTTCCCAGATATTTACAGAGTGTTGTTAAAAGAAGAGGGGATGTTACACTGTGGTAAACATGGCCCTGTCCCAAATATTTTGAGGCGTGTTGCTGCCATCAATTTCATAATTAGCTTCTTTTTTTTTAATGGTACATTTTCTCTGTTTAAACATTTGATATGTTTTCTATTTTCTATTGTGAATAAAATATGGGTTTATGAGATTTGCAAATCATTTCTTTCTGTTTTTTATGTAGATTTTAGACAGCATACCAACTTTTATGGAACTGGGGTTGTAAACAAATGACTGCTATATTTTAAAAGAAATATTCAGTTTTATTTACCAACAGACTGAAGAGCCCTCTGACAGCAAAACTCTGTTTTTCTTCAGGAGTTGAATTGCCATTCCTTCAGAAAGAAAAAAAAAACATTACCAGCTACACCATGACCTGAATATTACAGCATCAAGATTGACAAACTGACTTTTTAGCCATTTCTGCAGTGAAGTTGATATCAGCACTTTTTTCCAGCAACACAGAAATGTCTCAAGCTCCTCTTAATATTAACTTAATAAATATAGTTCACTTGTTCTTTTGGATTTTTTATATACGTTTTATTTATATTTTATATATGTGAATATAAATACTCCCTCTGGTAGACAGTTAGATTTATGCACAGAATATGAAAAATAATTTTTAGGTACCATCTTGTGGACATTTCATGTAAGCTCCATGAAGTTTAAAGTGATTCAACATTCTTTTAGAATACCCCACATTGCCTCCAAAATCTTTACATGCATTAATCATTTGTGAAACAGAGAATGAAGACAATAGCTCACCTGTCCGAGCGTCCTATTTTAAAGGTCTCTGCGATGGTCAACCCCCTTATTTAAGGATGAATGCAAATCCGCAAAGAGGAGAGCGGACTCCATTTTTATTTCCATGCACAATTGTATCTTCATACACATAATGTCTGTGTACAGTATTAATGCTGCATAGTGTACTGTAAAATGCTTATAAATGTGTATAGTGGATGCCATTATCCAACCACTCACCTACTGTCATTTAGTAGTCTCATTTTCTCACTGATTTCCTTTGTGTAGTCTCTCTGACCGTTCATATTCCTTCCCTACTATGGTACTCTTGAGAATAGTAATGATGTAGGTTCCATATATTATTAATATTTGGATATTGATTTACATGCATATAATTTCCTCTCAACTATACTTGTACAATACATCCAAAACACTGAAGTTTTACAGCTGTGTTTCTGCGATGTGAATGTGCACCAAGGGTCATTTACACAAATGTCAAAGTACAGTGGCTCATTCTTAAATTACACTAATGTCCAGATATGAAGCAGTGGAAGAAACCCTCTAGTAGCCAGACGGGAACAAGGTTCGGGTGAGTATATCTTAGCCCCACTGCAAGGGTTAAGTTTTATTCTGCCTGGAGTTCTTCTTGAAAAAAAAAGTTCTACTTTTAAGTCGTCTGACACCTGAATGAATATAGAAACATTTTCAATATTTGCTAATACAAATGAAAATACACACAGTAGCAAAGTTTAGTCTAACCTTAAAACTTTTCAACCTTAAAAATGTTAAAAAGAAACTACATAAAAAACATGTTTTGTCCCAAACCTATAGGACCCTTTATGGTATGTCCTATGTATTTTCTATTCATGTTGAAGATTTGACATTTTCGAGCTCATTTTACAGTTATTAACTACTGTATGTTTGCAGCATATTTTGCTTGATCTTAAGGGGATCTTTTACAGTTAACAGGTTTTCATTTAATTTTCTATATAGGATATATATAATTCTTGATTTAAAAAAAAAAATTGTCCATGGGGGAGTGGCTTGCAATGCTAGCAGCATGAGGGCGCGTGCAGCGAGAGCTCCCACAGGCAACCCATAGACAAAATACCTCCTGAGATCCTGTGACCGACATGGGGAGGAGCAATAGGAGGAAGCCTGAGACCCCACGCAGGGGAGAAGGCACAGATCTGAATTGGGACCTTTTTCCTGAAGACAAAAGAAAAGGTGGCTCCTGATTGCTCCCCAAATACGGAATCCACACGTGGCAGCTCAGTGAATGTCTCACCAGCCCTCTCGACATGTGGTAATGAACACTCACAGGAATATGACTTTGATAAAGTGGATACAGGAAGCAAGACCGTAGATACAAAGTCTACAAGTATGATGGGGAAATATTTCTCACAGCTTCCTACTAAGAACGATCTAGAGGGCTGGTTTGGACATATGGAGGAGACACAGAAGAGAGATATGGAGGAGCTGCCAATGGAACTGCAGAGCTACCATGAAAGAGTAGAGGCAGGGGAGAGTGTCATTCAACCGATGATTAATCAACAGAAACACAGAAAGTACTGCTAGAACAGCGTGATCAGATTCAAATGTTGTGGTCTTATGTGGAAGACCTTGAAGATCGTCAGAGACTAAGGGGTCTGTTCACAAAGCTGCCGAAGGATCTGGCCGTAGCTTCGGCCGATCCTTCGGCTGGCTTCGGCCCCAGGACCCCTTCGGTTCAGGAGAACCGAGGGGGTGCTGTACGGGCTATTCACAATAGCCCGTACAGCTCCCGATCACGGCCGAGCAGCTCAGTCGAGCGCTGAGCCGTGCTGAAAGCCGAAGCTGGCCGAGCAGACGGCCATTGGCCGGCCGACAGCCTGCTTCTGACAGCTGGGCAGTGTTCGGCTCACTTCACTTCTGATCGGTCATTCACTCGGCTGCCCTCGGCAGCTTTGTGAATAGACCCCTAAATAATATTCGGCTGAGTGCTGTACCCTAAATGTCCATGGCCTTAATAACATAAGAGTAAAATGCAGATTGTTTCTGCAGGGGACACAGTTTAGGTCCTCCTTTGCACCATTCCTCTAAAATAAATATTTAAAACTTTGGCAGTTTAGTAATAACTCCATTCAGAAATCTAAGGGGGTAGCTATTGGGTTCCATTCCTCTCTTTCAGTGGAGATACAGGATGTTTTGACAGATGATGAAGGCAATTTTTTTTTTTGCACAGTCTGATTTTTGGAAAGCTTTTTGTCCTTGCTAACTTATACTTACCTAATGTGGGTCAGAAATCAGCCTTTTTAACTATCCTGCGGAAGTTGGAGTAGTTTATGGATGGCTTTCTGTTGGTAAGGGGTGATTTTAATTTTATTCTTGATCCAGAATTAGACTCTTCTTCTAAACCTACTTATGTGTCTTATCCCGCTATAAACTCTTTTAAACGTCACCTGCATAGGTTTCAGTTGGTGGATATATTTAGAGTGTTAGATCCAACCAATAGAGATTATAATTTTTATTCCCCAGTTCACTCAACCTATAGTCCTATTTACTATTTTTTCTCTTCTCATCACCTTCTGGATTGGCACCCACAAGCTATAACTGGGTCTAAACTGTGGTCTGACCCTTTTCATCTCCTAGTGACTTTTTTTTCCCCAGGAGTGGCTAAACAGAAGCCTACTTAGTGGCTGAATGAGGGCCTCCTAAGGGTCCCCCTTGTTAGGGCAGACCTTGAGAACACCATTCAGACCTTTGGTTTGACTCATGCTGTAGACACTACCCCTTCTCCCATTAAAATGTGTGTTGCATGTGGTTTTGATAAAACATGGAGCTCGTTTCAAGAGGGCTTGAACTACACAGTTTTCCTCTTTGCTCTTAGAGCAAACTGTTGAATGTGATCTTGTCCTTCACTGGGAAGCCCATAAGGCTTA